GTGGTGTCCCGTGGTGACCCGTGGTGTCCCGTGGTGTCCCACGGTGTCACGCCGTGGTGTCCCGATGGTGACCGATAATACCCCGTGATGTCCCGTGGTGTCCCGCGGTGTCCCGTGAGATCGATAGTGAGATCGGTAGTGGGATCGATAGTGAGGGCTGTGTTAAGATCGATGGTGAGATCGACAGTGAGATCGATAGTGAGCTCGATGATAGCATATGTAGTGAGATCCATCGTGATATCGATGGTGCAATCGATCGTGAGTTCGATGGTAAGATCGAGAGTGGGGTAGGTGGATGAGACCAGCAGTGAGATCGACAGTGAGATCGATTGTCAAATTAATAGTGGGATCGGTAGTGATATCGGTAGTGGGAGGGATCGGGAGAACGATTGTGAGAACGATGGCGAGATCGATAGTGCGATCGAAGGTAAGATCTCTAGTGGTTTCGCGGGAGTGATACGTTGGATTCCCCCCCGCCGAACCTCCTGATCACCCGAAGGGTGGTCGTGTAGGCAATGAACTTTCGGTCGGGCATGTCCCCCCACAGGGGGATTTTGGACGAAACATGGCACTCAGCAAAAAGGTGCTCAGCAAATGCTTAAACATAGTCCAAGAATAGTCCCCCGACGATTTTGGACTACTGGTGCCCGCGGCGCCGCGCACTGCTTGTGAACCCCTGTGTGCCCGCAACCCTGGCACCTGGGAGTGTACGACTGACGGATCAGCAACTTCGAAGCTGACTGTACCTGCTTCTAGGTTCTCTTGCCGTTGCCTTCTCCACACAATTTCGTTGGTCTATTTCTGAATATTCCTCCTGTAGAGGGACGTGCCCGACGTAACAAACTAACTGCAACGATGCAGACATTCTCAAGGTTCGCCCGGGGCCCGCCCCGAGGGCGCCTCGTGGGCGCCCCGTGCACTGGGTGAGCAACAGTGATTGAACATCTGCATCGATTGCTCCTTTTCCAAACAAAGGTGCCTCCTCCTCCTCCTCCTCCTCCTCCGCCTATCTTAGAAAACCTCTTCCTCCTTTGAGAAGGCCCGCCCCTTCTCATTACCCCCCCCACACCAAGAGCTGCTTGCCTCCCCCCCCCTCCCCAGAGAATCCCCCCGGCCTCGCGCAGTGCCACTTACGGATGATTCTGGCCCGCCCTTCACGTTACGTACAAGCGCATACCATCCCAGCCGAGCCGGCCCCCCCCCCCACGCGTTGATCACAAACCATCGACTTGATTGAGTCCCTTTCACAACAGATGGGGCGAAATGCGAAAGCGCTGGCCGTCGCGCGCGTATGCCTGAAACCTTCAGCATCCTTCGGTGTGGTAGAGATGTGTAGATCGAGCGTTATGGAAACATTTTGAAATCAATCGTTCTGAAATTTGGCGTATTGCAAACAACTGAGCGCGTATGCTAATCCTTGAAGAAGCCAGACGTCTTGAATATGCACATCAAACGTGACCAAGTGGGCATCTCGCGCGCGCGTGTAGAAATCATCTGGACGCCCTTGCGCGCATGCTGAGGGGGGCCGGGGGGGAAGGGCACGATCCTTGTCAAATGATAATATGCAAGCCGCTCGCGCCCGGCGGCCGCGTGCGCATGTCGAAATCCTTCCAACACGTTCATCGCCGAAGCCATCATCGTCATCGGCGTGATCAGCATCGGCGCCGACATTGGCTTTGCCGCCGTCCGTCGTTGTCCTCATCCTCGCCAGCATCGCTACTATCATCATCGTGCCTGCCGTTGTCGACATCGCCATGATAGCGCGTCCGCCAAGGCAACCGACTCGCACTGAAGCGCTCGCGGGTCAGCGCATTCTGTGAGATGCGCTGCGAAGTCCCAGCCCCGAGCGCTACCGCGGCCGCGTCGGACGCGCCAGACTTGCTGGCAACTCTGCGCGCGAGTCTGCGCGCTAGCACGGCCGCAGCGACGCGCCAACCAGCGCCAAGCAATCTTCGAAATCGCAGCCGCAGGGGTTTTTGTCAAACCAAATTTCGGGTGGGTGGGTGGGATGTTTGTTCGAGCATGGGACGTGCTCACGCGTGAGGGAGTCAAAGTCAAGCACACCACATTGGTCACACCGCATAGTCTACACGGCATAGCTCACCCAATATAGGTTCCACAACGTGGCCTACATCACATAACTCACACCACACATCTGACACAACATGGTTCACGGCACATTGCGTACTCCGAGTAGCTTTCATCTCCACAGAATGCAACAACTCACTGTTTGGGGTCTACGCTGGAACAGTGCATCACGCTGAAATGTAAGCTGAGAATTTGAGACGGCACGAACATGCATCCAAGAGAACTGAGCACTCCTTCACGCTGGAATTTAAGACCGCCCCCGTAGGTTGATGAGGCCACGCGTTTTGCAACACCTACGTGCTTCAGTGCATTAACGCATGCTTGCGATACATTGCCCCCAGCGATGGCAAAGTGTCAATAGCACGCCTTTCTGTAGGAATTCGAATCACTATATCCTGGCACACCACAGCACAGGACAAGCTTTCCATCCTGAGTGTTTCTTGTTCGGCCCTGGGCCTGAAGACGATCTCCAGAGGCTTAAACATGGCTTCACACGTTCACCCAGATGGACCTCTTCCTGGGCACGCCCCAACCAGAACGTCGAGGTGGATCCACCCGTGGCGGCGATGAGGCCCCGAAGAGGCAGATCGCGGAAGATGGAAGATGGATGATGATGATGATGATGATGATGATGATGATGATGATGATGATGATGATGATGATGATGATGATGATGATGATGATGATGATGATGATGCTGATGCTGATGCTGATGCTGATGCTGATGATGATTATGATGCTGCTGCTGATGATGATCGAGATGATGATGGCGCGATGGTGATGATGATGCTGGTGTGATGAAGATGAGGAAAATGATGATGATGATGCTGGTGATGATGATGCTGATGATGATGATGATGATGATGATGATGATGACGGTGATGATGATGATGCTGACGATGAAGATGATGATGATGCTGATGATGGTGATGATGCTCGAGCCCCTGTCTCGAGCCCCTGGGCCAGGCCTTCCCCGCCGCGGCGATTTCCAGCAGCGGCATGTGCGCGCAGGGCGGCGGACTGGCTGGGAGGGGACCGAAGTATACACACCAAGTCGCCTGGTCGGGTCAGGATGCTCGGCGTGCAGACGCCCCAGCTTCCAGTCGGGCATGCCCCTCCACAGGAGGAAAAACCAGAAACAGTCTAAACATAATCTGGGGACGATTTGTTCTGACTAGGTTTGACTACTTTTGAAAATGTTCTGGCTCGTTATTTTCTCCATCTGATTCCAAAATCCGCCTCTAGGAGGACATGCCCGACCTTACCCCAGCTCCCCAACCGGTGGGATGACTGGGGCGTCCGTGCGCCGAGCTCCTTCGACGAGCTCCGCCGGGTGTGTGTGTGGCCAGACGGTTGCGCGGAGTGTCGCCAGCGCGCTGTGCACGTCGTCAGGACCAGCTGCGGAGGGCGCTTTGCCGTGGATGCTGGAGCGAGGGCAATCGGGTGAGGGGAGGTGTGTGTCCTCTTCGTGATCCTCATGCTCGTCGTCCTCGTCGTCGTCGTCGTCGTCGTCCTCGTCGTCGTCGTCGTCTTCCTCGTCGGCGGCTCCTGGGCCGACCCACCGACGCGGTGCAGACACCGAGCCCCCCCTCCGGTGGGCCGCGGGGGCGCGGACGGCTGCTGCCCGCGGCCGCGACCCTGGCCCCGCCCCCGCCGGAGAGGGGGGGGCGCTTCTGGAGGCGCGCCGCGGCGCGTGCGCGCGCGGCGCGCCCGCGGCGGCAGGCCGCCCGTGCGGAGGCGCTGGGCCTCTTCGAGCCAGGCGGCACGACGGCGCCATGCCTCGAGCAGGGGATCGACTGCACGATCGATGCGTCCCCAAATCGGACTCTTCGCCGAGGCTGCGCGGCAAGGCTCGTCACCTGCGCAGGTCTGCGAAGAGCTGCCACGTGTTCCTTCGCGCAGCTTCGACGAGCAGAGCAGCTTGGGGGCCAACCGCTGCTGCAGTCGGTCCTCCCCAACCTCGAGCCGAGTGCCCCCGGGAGCTGGGCGCCGCGACGTCGGGCGTGCACGCCAGGCTTCGGGCCCCCGGATCCTCTGTCTCGCTTCGGGACCTGCAGCAGAAGGAGAAACCGCGTAAGCATAAACTTTTTTTTGTGGCGCTCCGCGCAGATCTCCTGGATTCGCGCCAGACCCCCCTCCCTGTCGCGCGGAGCGCGCCAGGGGCGGCGCCGGAGGCGGCGCCGGGGAGCCCGGGCGCGGATCCAAAAGAACGCCGCGCGGAGCGCCAGCAGTTTGTGTCTGCGTGTGGTTTTTTCTTCTTCGATCTTGGCCCCTCGCTTCTGGCCCAGCTGGGGGTGGCCGCTGCCGCTGCCCCGGGGGGGCCTCGAGCACATCTTTTCGGGAAGAGGGGCAGCCGCTGGGCTGGGCGGGGGATGGAGGCCCCGGGGCCGCGGAGCGGCAATATATATATATATATATATATATATATATATATGTATATATATATATATATACATACACATACATACATACATAAATACATAACATAAAACATTAAAATAAATGCATAAATGAATACACATATATATATATATATGTACAGAGGAGGCCTGGAGTCGAGGCCTCCGCCGAGCGAAGTTGGCGAGACGTTGCGAGACAATGCAGCATAATAATAACAATAATAATACGAATACTGATAAGAATAATAATGATAACAAGAGTAATAACAATAACGAGCTGCATAAACATCAACTGTTGGCGCTCCGCGCGGATTGCTTGGATCCGCGCTGAACACCCCTGAATGGCGCGCGGAGCGCACGAAGGGCGGCGCAGGAGGCGCCGCCAGGGAGGCCCCAGCGCGTATCCAAGAAACCCACGCGGAGAAAGTTTATGTGTATGGAGTTGTTTCCTGCGCTGGGGCCCCTGAGCCCAGGCCGGTAGCTTCGAGGGGTCGCGGCGGTGGAGCTGGACAGGGGAGAGCACCCAATCGAGTCGGAGTACGGAGCCGATTGGGCGGTGCACACCCCTGACTCGCGGTCGGCTTGGGCCGACCTGCTCGAGGACACAGCTGGCGGTGAGGGCTCCGAGGGCGGCCACGCGGTGGCGACGCCGCCCCGGGCCGCTAGGCGGGCAGGGCGCCGCGGCGAGCGGGCGGCCACAGGACCCGCGCGGCGGTGAAGCCGCGCCAGGCCCTCCCTGCTGCGGCAGGCCTGGGCGACGGTCTGGAGGCGGACGGATCGCCTCGCGCAGCCGCCCATGCCGGCGCGGCGGACGCGCCGGTTCTGGCCCCCTCGCCCGAGCGGGAGGGCGACGGTCTGGAGGCCGACGGCATCGGCAGGGTCGAGTTCCTGCAGGCGCTGCGCTTCTGCCTGGACAGCTCGGGCTGGGTGGCGGCGCGCGCGCTCGCGCCGGCGCTCCACGTGAAGCTCCGCGGATGTGGATTCCGCGAGGCGCGAGCCCGGATCCTGGAGGCGGGCGACGGCATCCCTGACGCGCGGGGGCGCCGGCGGGCAGCCGAGCGCGTCCTGGGTCGGCGCCTGGGGCGGGCCAGGGAGCCCTGAGCCCCGCGCGGCCGGCCAGGCCCGCCGGTCTCGCGGCTGGCACTGCCTGTGCCCAGCCGGCTGAGCAGGGGCGAGCTCGGGGAGCTCGTGGGCCTGCGGACGCCCGGCGCTGAGAGCGGTACCCCGCAAGGCCGGGGTGCCAGGTGGCGGCCGCGGCCGTGCCCGTCTGCGCTGCTTGCTGCTGCTGCTGCTTCTAGTCTTGTTCTTCCCCCCCCTGCTGCTTTCCTCTCCTCTCCTGAGCCACGGGGCGCCCACTCGAGCTGGGAAAAAAAAAGTGTATGGAGTTGTTTCCTCGTCGCAACACAAACAGAACAAACATGACCAGACCCCCAGGCCCCATCACTTTGAGGCATCTTCCGCACCGGATCGCTCAGTCCGTGAGGGTCCCAAGGCCAGGACCCAGAGAACACGCCAGAGGAGATCAACAATGCATCGCCCGGACCTCACGGTCCCCACGGCCCACCAAAGCGATGCCTGCCCAGGCCGCTTCGGCGCCGTGGGCGGACGTGCACCCGACGCCAGCAGCAAAGCGTGCCGGGATGGGCATCTGCTGGTGGTGCGGCCTGGGCTCCAGCTGCCCAGGCGAGGTAGAGCGAGCCCCCGCTGTGCGGTGCAGGGGTCTCGTCTCGTGTCGATCCCATTCAAGCAGCAATCCATGCCTCGTGATGTCTGCCCTGGGTTTGGGACAATGCTATAGCACGGATCCCCTCTCTCGTGATCCGTCGCGAGGGGGCCTGCCGTGCTTGTGCAAGTGGCAGTACGGGCGGTGGCGATGCGGCGGGGGCAGGAGGAGTAGGCGGGGAATCGGAATAGGAATCGGAATCGGAACAGTTGCGAAGCAGCAACAAGCTCCAACAGCACACCACTTCCCTCTCGGAAGTCCCCGAGCGCCGAGACGGCCCATAAGTCAAAGAAGGTGAAGAAATACCAACCTGCAACGATACGGAAAATAACATTCACCAAAGGAGGAGGGAGGAGGGAGGAGGGCGAGGAGGGGGGGGGGGGGGCGAAGGGCGAGGAGGAGGAGGGCGAGGAGGGCGATGAGGGGGGGGGCGAGGGGCGAAGGGGGGGGGCGCGGAGGAGGAGGAGGGCGAGAAGGAGGGAGGAGGAGGAGGGCGAGGAAAACAACATTCACCGAAGGAGGAGGGGGGGGCGAAGGGCATATTCCTGCCATTGCCATCGTTCCCGTCACCGTCCTCGCGATCACACTCTGCGTTGTCACCGCCGATGCCACCGCCTTCATCATGATCAACATCTGCATTCGCGATTGTTCGCAAAGGGGGTAGGTTGGAAGAGCAAGGCGCCCTCCACAATGGCGGGTCTGAACAACAAGGCCGCGACGAAGGATGGTCCTGATTCTAGGGGGGGGGGAAGAGCGTTCTTTCCGAAGCTCGGGGTAGAGGGTCGGCTGATTTGGGAGGGACGGAGGAGGAGAGAAAAGGATCGAGAACCGAGGAGGCTGACAGGGGACGGAGAGGGGAGAGGTTGCAGGGAAGGAGGGCTACGCTGCATCGCCAGAAGGCCTCGTCGGTCCCGTCGCGCTGCTGAGCGCTTCGAATCCGCAGTGAGACAACGTCGAACTCGTCGAACCAACGTCGAATCCGCGTCAAATGCACGTCGAATCAACGCCGAGCCCGCGTCGGGCACACAGGCAAAGACCACAGCCTGCGGAACATAGACGAGGCTCCCAGCAGCCAGGTGCACGAGGTCCCCAGAAGTTACAGACAGATGTAGAACTAGAGAGAGGTTCCTACGACCCAGACGTGATCGCGTCGTACAGAAATCAGGAAAGGAGGTTTTGGCCGATTTCGGCCTCAAGGGGCCCTCGCCGGGACTTGGGACCGTCAAAAAACGACTCAGGATGAAACACCGGTCCGGGGAAAGGGTCGGAACTTCCAGGTACCCCGTATTGAACAAATCAGGACGTCGCATGTCTGGAGATCTGTCTTTCCGTCCACGAGGCCAACTTTCCGCCCCGGTTCCATTTTTGATGGCCCCGTGGCCCAGCTATCTGGCCCTGGAGGCCGAAATCAAAGAAACACGCCCGGATTGAAATAATCATATGGTCGGAGTTCTTTCAGGTGCGTTCTGAACAGAACTTCGAAGAGAATCCAGCTGTGGCGACGAGGGCCTCCCAAGAGACCCAAAGAGGTCAAAACTAGGCGAGGGTAGTGGCATCAGAATCGGCACAATTGGAAGGAGGGGCTCAAGGGACAGAAGGGGGGGCTAACATTCAAGGGAGCGGAGGCTAGCGCGAAGCGAGCCGCCCGCCCCAGCACCCCAGGCCCGGAAAAGGTCGTCGACCGCGTGTCCTGCCTCTCCCCTCCCCAGCCCACCTCATCGCCCTTCTCCTCCTCCTCCTCCTCCTCCTCTTCCCTCGTCTCCCTCGTCCATCAACTCCCCCTTCGCGTCCCCATTGTACTCTCTCCAGCTCCTCCACTTCCTCCCATTCACCACCCACCCCTCCTCCCCTCCCGCCCCCCCATCCTGCTCGTCTTCCTCTCCCCTTCTCTCCTCCTCCTCCTCCTCCTCCTCCTCCTCCTCCTCCTCCTCCTCCTCGCATGCGGGGTGGGGCAAACAGATGGCGATGCCGCTGCTCCCCCAGACCTCCCCCAGGGCGCGTTCCGACCAGGATTGCGACTCCTGCGACTGCGACCTGCGTGGACCGCCGCGGGTTCGCTGCAGGGGGGAGCCAAAACGCACAGGACCCGTCCGTGGCGACTCTGCCCGTGGCGACGCAGGATGGGCATCGGCATCGGCATCTGTTCGTCGTCTGGCCTTCCCCTTCACGTCCCCCCTCCCCCTGCCGCAGAAAAAAAAGTCCTCCTCGTGAGGGGCTGCATCTGCGGTGGAAGGGCTGCAAGGTTGAAGGGGCCCTGAGACACACACATAAATATACAAATAACAGGATTCCCCATATTTCCAAATATTTTCTGGGTTTTTGTCTTCCCCCCACTTTCCATACTTTCCTATATTTTCCTGGGGATCGACGATTACTTGTGTCTGTGTGTTTTTTCCGTCCTGAAAGGTTTCCCCGCAGGAGGAGCTCTGGAGAGCCTGTCAAGAGCCCGTTGCGTCGGGAGCGGACAGGTCCTCCGTTGGCAGGGCGCCCTCGAACGAACAACAAAAAAAAGGGGAGCAGCCCCGCGGGCGCAGGCCGGAAAGTCTGCGGCCGCAACACCCTCTCGAGAGCTGCAACAGCGCAAATCGTGATGGCATAGTGGGGGCCTCCTTCTCCTCCTTCTCCTTCTCCTCCTTCTCCTCCTCCTTCTCCTCCTCCTCCACCTACTACTACTACTCCTCCTCCTCCTCCTCCTCCTCCCTTCCTTCTCCTCCTCCTCCTCCTCCTCCTCCTCCTCCTGCTCCTGCTCCTCCTCCTCCTCCTCCTCCTCCGCCTCCTGGTCGTCGTCGATGTCTTTCAGGGTCGGGGGCACCAGCCGCCAGGCCTTCACAATCGACATGGCAGGGTGGGATGCGTTCACCCTCCAATTTCTTTGCGGTCCGACGCCGCGACAAAAAAAACATCGCACAACATCAGGGCCGCACCCCTGGACCCTATCAATCCGCGGCAACGATCGAGCCAGGTCGATCTGTGGTGGTCCCAGGGCCCGAGGGCCGGCGAGAACGCCCCGTGTGAAACAAGGGAAGGAGGAGCAGCAACGGCACAAGCCTAGACCTCTGGCGCTCCGCGCGGATCTCTGGGATCTGCGCTGGACCGTCGGCGCCGGAGGCGCCGCCAGGCCCGGGGGGGGGCCAGCGCAGCTCCCAGAAACCCGCGCGGAGCGCCCAGAGTCTCGCAGGCCTAGAGATTGACGCCAACACCAATTTCGGTGGTGTGCCTCCACCGGGGGAAGAAGATCCCGATCTCGGTGATGGTGGTAACATTCTGGCCTCCAAGGTGGCCGAACTATGACCACCAACACCGAAAATCTAGGATCATCTTCCCCCTGTGGAGGCAAGCCTCTGTCTTGGTGTTGGTGCCAATTTCCAGGCCTCCGAAAGTCTATGCTTCTGCAGTTTTGTGCCCCTTCTTCGGAGCAGCCCCGCCCGGACCTCGGGGCTCTCGGCCCTCGGCGGCCTCTCGTCGGGCCTCTGCGCAGGGCCCCCCCCTCCCCCCTCGCCGCCGCCCCAGGCCCCCGACGGCGTGATCTTGTTCGCAACGTCGCCCTCCTGAGGTCTGGACCCCCTTCTGGTCGAGCGCGTTCCACCACTTGCAAAGCATCTGCTCGCAAGTGGCCTGGGTCCGCCGCAGTGGATGTCCGAGACATTTCACAAAGGCAGGCGTATGGATTTTCGGACGTTTGCGAGTAGGGACTTTGCGCGTAGCGGAACGCGCTCGGCGACCTTCCCCGGGACCGGTGTTTCATCCTGAATCGTTTTTCTGTCGGTCCCACGGCGAGGGTGAGGGCTCCCGGAGGCCGAAAATCGCGAGAAGCCTCCCCGCGAGGGGGTCTGGGGCCGACGCGTGGTGACCGGCCGCCGAGGCGCCCGCAGCCCGCCCTCGCGCGGGTGCAGCGTCCCGGACAGCAGGGGCACCTGCCGGGGGGGGGAGGGCAGAGTTCGAGTAGGGGATCTGCCACAGCATCGATTCACCCCAGTAGCAACTCCCACGTCGAAAATCGATGGCGAATGCACAACATTCTCGGTAGATGTGCGAACTCTCGGCGTATTCGTCGTAGCTTCGATAGGGCAAACCACTCCTGGGGTACATCACTTCTGCAGTCGATCCCCTACTCGAAGAGTGGACACTTTTTTTCTCGTCGGCGGCGAGAGCAGGCCGGCTGCACCAGCGGCCGCGCCGAACGGGGCTATACCGAGGGGGCGACTGGCCCAGCGTGCAGTGGGGGAGACTGAGACAGACGGGGTGGCCGCGGACCCAGACGGTCCCGAGGCCCGGCGAGGGCCCCCCGAGGCCGAAAATGGCGAGACACCTCCCGTCATGATCTCGTCATTGCCCGCGGGGGTCTG